CACTTTAGCTCCTCCTCCTTCATTACATTTTAGTTTTCTTATGTTCTCAGCATATAGATGGAGGCTAGTGTAAATATTAATTTAGCCCAACAGGAAACCCAGCATGGGTAGAGTCAATAACAGCCACCAGATCTTATTACAGTAATGACATCACCATCGTAGCTTCATGACCATTGGCTGCCACTCTATGTGTAATTCCCTGTTTGCTTGTCTTTCCTCTGGAGACCTGTGATTTCCACTCTCATAGCTGCATTTTATCTTTACTGCAACAAGGCACACATTGACTCACACCGTCATGGTATAATTCATGTTGATTTATGACTTTTTTTTATGGATGTTTATGGTTTTATCTTTTGGTGATTACTTGACCATGAATGCTGTCTCCTTATCTTCGAACAGTTCATTGAAATAATACCTATGTGCTAAAGACATGGGGCCCATATGGTTTAGGCTTGCTGGGCCTGGATAATGATGCGTTTTTTTTAATTTACTTGACATTTTGTCACCCATAGTCCTTATAACCTTGTTAACAACTGGCAGTAATATGAAAACTGTGTAAACAAACATAGTTTTGGAGATTTGTTGCACATCCACCAACATTCGTTAGGCAGGAGAAGCCTACTTTTTACAATAATTGACACCTGGAACAATAATGACTGTAATAGCAATATAGTGGACTGGACTGTATTCCTCGTTGTAGGTGGTCTTCACCCCTTGTCTTAACGCTGTCTCGTGTGGTGCTGACTGGTGGAGCTGTAACTAGGGAGGGGAAAGCCCAGAGAACATATCGGGCCCATTTAATCGGACACCCCGCCGAAAGGGTTTTAATCTCTTGATCCGCGAGGCTCAGGAAAGCGAGAAGTGGTCAGGGGAAACTCTGGGATGTGCATGCTGTCCTTTAGCCTTCAAAACATTGGCAGCTCTCCATTTTTTAACAAGTAGACAAAGTTAAAACCACATGTGAAATGTTGAAAGCAGTGCCGCTTCAGGCGCCTTTTTAGCTGCTTGAAGTCAGAAAGAAAAATCATGTTGTTGTGTTTTTGCTCCATAATTTAAGCCCATTAAACCAACAACTTCAATTTAGCTCCTTTCATAAGAAATATGAGGGTGTTTTTTGAGACCACTTAATGCTTTGCGCAGCATACAGGGGCTGTATTTCTGAACCTGGCCAACCACAATACTGGACACCTGGTGTAGTGGCACAGATTCACCCCCAGCATGTAAAGGCGCTAAAGAGATTGAGAGCCGGCCAGCGCTTCCACCCAGCAATCTAGGTCATTAGGTCTACAGTTTAATTTAAGGAGCGCCACATCTGCTCACATGTAGGCAGAGCTGAGTGTTGTGGGTCGAGCATTAGAGCGATGCTTAATCCTCCTGTGACAGCTGATTGTACGTATTTTCGGCTCGTGGTTTTGCAGAGCTCACTTCATTTGTTCGCGAGAGGGCACTGAATTCCGAGCAAAGGAGTGCAGAGAGAGGCCGAGTTAAGGTAGGAGAATAATCACGATTTCATGCTGTGGCTGATTGCGTGAGCAGATCACTGTTGGATTTAAATAATAGCGTGTCCGTACACACTCTGCAGATCGATCGGGGTTAACGACGCACTGTGCATGTATTGCTGTTTGCCGTGCTACTGATTGTAAAAGCGTAATGAGGACGTGTGTCAGTATTGTTGTGCTGGCATCCATCTTGGCCCAGTCTCTTGCATGCCATTGGGCCGAAGTGGTCAATGGACCACATGCTTGTAGACTGAATGGACGCTGGCTTATTGGCCGACAGACAGATGACCTAAATGAGTGGAGAGAATGGATTAAGTGTTTATTATCTGCTCCCTTTATCCTGCTGTCCTGCCTTCCCTTTATCTCTCCCTCTGTCCTGGGGGCGGGGCTTGTAGTTTATGGGGGGGCTTGTTGGGAGGGGGTGGGACTTTTCTAGCTGGTTGTGGAAACCAGTGGGTATATTATTATTATTATTGACATATAAACCACTCCAGTGGCTGGTTAGAAGGCCATATCGACAAACTCCACATGACCGGTCCTGTACTCTCAATATTGAGAATATTTAATTAATTTCCATTCATTGAATGCGCAACAAAACTGTTAAGAAAATGTTAATAATTTAGGAATTTAGTTTTTCTTTGATTCCTATAGGGCAGTAGTGTTTTTATCTCCAGTATTTCTTTCTTTTAAAGACTATTCTTCGATATTCTTAAACGATAAGGGTGGTGATGGTCTATATTTTTGTAATTGTCACCAAACCCAAGAATGAAAAAAACAGACAAACAGACAAAGGGATTCGTCACACCACACAATAATGCCCAGCCAGTAATAATAACAACGTGGAAGTCAGCTGGAGGCGTTGCGAGTTAAGTCGACCAGACGAGGAGAAGGAAAATATTAGCCTGGGGGGGGGGGGGTTGTGACTGACTGACCAGCCAGATAATTAAACGTGATGGCAATCTTTGACAGTGTAGTCGAATCACACCTCAGTGCCACAGGAGCTGCACTGTCTGGCTCTGTCTCTTGTCACATGACACATAAAGGCGCCTTGTGGATGGATACGTCTTATTTTCTCATTTTACTCTCACAAACAGCTCAGAAAGGTCTCCAAACATCTTGCCACACCTTCTGCTTAATCAATTCAGTGCCACAACACCACCAAGCTCTTCAATTTTTAGTGTGTCTCTGTCTCACAGAGCAGATCATGAATATTGAGAAGCCCTTTAGTCGAAAACTAGTTTCCAATATTCCACAGTGATAATTCTGTCACTTTCCTCACGTTTCGAAAACTAATTAACCGGTGAGTGCTTCAGAAGCGGTGACGTTTTCTCAGAGTACGTTCAAGAGCAGATGACGGCTCAAACCCATTTACTTGCAAATGAACCTCCCGATACGCATTTCTGTCCAATCTCTTCCATTTGTCCTCCAAGTGAGGCCTCATAGTGTTGCTGCCATTGAGGCAGATTTCCCAAAAACTATCCCAGGCAGTGTTGTTGTTTACAGCCCAAAAGTGCATTTTCAGGCAGATGACTCCCAGGCTGTTCCTCGGAGACCATTTTACCTTTTGCACATCAGAGAAGAAGAGCTAAAAGCCTGGCTAGTGCCTGCACCGTCTGTCCAGTGTCACACCCACAGTCAGGATTTACTGGAGCAAAGTTGACATGTAAGTTCATAGTCTGGCCTTTCATGAATGCTGAGTTAAAAGTTTTTACGGTCAAGAAGAAACATTTAAAACTCATAAATAAAATCCCAAATCTTGTTTACTATCAACATCTGAAATCATCCAGCATGTAAAAACACTGTTAAACTCTCTCTCTCTGTAGATGTTTAGATGTAGCTCTGATGTCACATGAAGCAACCTAGCTTATATAGCTTATTTGAATTTTAGGTGTAAAAGATTAATATTGATGATCTGCCGCAGCCAGAAGTGGAGTTTAAAGCGGCTCGGAGCAGTCTCCCTGCTGAGTATCAGATAGATGTTGGTAAATAAAACATTTGGTTATGAAATATTTATCTATAGACTCCATGAACCAGTTCACGCAGTTTGATTAAATTCATATTTGACCCTGTAGCTCTCTAGTCCGATATGATGGGTTTCATTGAAAACACTATATATTGTGCACATTTAAAATGTTATTCAAACTGACATTTTATATATTATGTAAACTAATATATTTACAGTTTATAAATCAACGTCATGTTAATATGTAAAGGACTTTAGATAGCTAGTTAAAGAGATTTACTGTACCCAATGAGAGATTCAATATCAGTTTTCCAACTGTAGATACCATTGAAAGCAAAGCGTTGATGCAAAGTACAGTAGTGATTGATCAACGCGCTGATTATTTTCTCAGTTTATTGATGATTGTTTTGTTTATAAAATGTCAGAAAACAGCTCTAATAGCCTCGTATAGATACAGCACAGCATGCTCTTCAAATACACCACAAACACTGCCGCTGTGTTTGTTTTAATCATCCGCGTCTTCAACCGTCAGCAGGGCGTTCCTCGTGTATTTTACATTTCAGGGTCATCTCCATAGAGAAGTGGGTTAGCTCATTTACAATATGGTTAATTACAGCGTTTCTTTCTGTTACTTTACACACTATGAATAACTCGGAGGGGTTTTCTCCCCCCCCCCCCCATATCACTGGCTGGTGTTCATTTAGGTTATGCGAGTTGCGTGCTTTAATGAGGGTATTTCCTTCATCTATGCAGCACTTTTTATTGGTTAACTCTGCTAAAATAAAGAAGTTCCAGCGCAGCTAACGTCTAACTGCTGATATCAGCAGCTGCATAAGTGTTATAGCACTTCTCAGATGCAGTCAGTTGAACTGTCTCACTTGGACAATGTGCTCTTAAACTGACACATAGGAGGGTGAGGACTTTTTTGTACAATTATACTATAGTGTGCGTTAAACTCAATAAATGTTTTTGACTGATTCTATGGAGGCGGATGATTTAATTAACATCTCCCTTTTTCTCTTTGCTTTGATAATAAATTATGTGTAAAGTGGAGCTCTTGCAGTGGGACTAATTAATATGTTTTGTTCTGTTAACGTTGTATAATCACAGTTGTGGAATAAAGACAAAGATAAGCCTCGTAGTATTCATGAAGAGAAGAGTGTTTTAGGCTACTTTCCAATTAACATTAACGTGGGCGATCATTTGTATTCTGCACATAAGTCGCATGCAAAATGTTTTCCTACAACAGCCACTGTTCATTTCATGGAAACGACTCGTGCGTCCACTTTGAAATGATAAAATAGGAAACAAACAAAAGGAAAAGAAAGAAATGCAGTAACTTCCAAGTGGAGAAGCCTTTACACGACATCTTCAATCAACCTGAAGGACAGCAAGCCGTTAAGTGTGTCGCCACTTGGCTGGCAGCCAGCATGAGTGTTAGCGCGAGTGACCAATGGTGGCGGGCGGAGCTGGCTGATACTGACCATCTGTGTGTATGTTGTGTGTGTGTGTGTGTGTGTGTGTGTGTGTACGTGCAGCTCCCCGCAGACTTCAGCAGACTTCACCTGGCCGACGGCTTGCACCCACAGGTGACCCACGTCTCCTCCAGCCACTCAGGATGTAGTATCACCAGCGACTCTGGAAGCAGCAGCCTGTCAGACATTTATCAGGTAAGGACGCCACCCGTTGGCGCTGGATCCCCAGTTTGGACTCCCCCGGATAGTTCAGTAGGTGTGGTAGTTTGTGAGCTGGACGTGAAATATCCCCTTGCGGGATTAATAAAGTTAACTATCTATCTAACTGTGAACGGGGTCGTGAGGTCGGTCATGCGAGGTTAAACCTTACGCGGTCTAGCTTGGGTCGTCGTTCTTCCGCTAGGATGTGTTTTTGAAAGCTTACTTTCTAGTTTAAAGTAACACGACATGTTAACTAGTCTATCGTACATTGAAAACTGTCAGTTAATGTTTCTAACCTAATTTGTGCAGATAAATTAAGCAAGAGAACTGAAGCCCAGCTCATATTGAGTCAGTGAGACCCTCCTTGGTGAAATGACAAATCCACCTCCGGGGCCGCGGGTTGCTCTCATTAAGCAGTACAAGAACGTTTGGGAGTGAATGTAAGCGCTTGGCAGACAGAGTGGCCGTGAGACACTAATAGGACACTGTCCCTGCTCAACGGGAGACGAGCAGGCGGGCGGGTGGCTGCGAGCAGGTGGGCCAGCCTACATCCTGACTCCAGCTCCGCCTCTCATCACCTCAAAGCACGAGTACAGAACTCCCAGGGAGCCGTAACGTACAACCTCGTGTGATAAGGAGCTTTACGAGCTACAATATTACAGAGAGCAACTGTAGACTCGGATCTTTTTTTATTCATCAGAGTGCGACTAAATAAGTAACACTGACGAAAGGAAATTTAAATATCCTCCAGCGACTTTAACCCCCCCCCCCCCCCCCCACGGTAAATACAACAAGATTCAGCTGAAAAAGAACACGCACACAGAATCTTGTGACTGTGGACGGGCCCCAAACCCAGCAACTAATCCTCTTAACACAGCACCCACCCTATTGGCTCCCTGTACCGTCACCTGCTGTGAGCCTATTTGTGTGTTTGTAAGTGGGCTTGTGACTGCGCTCAGGGGGCATCAGTCAGAATCAATTTGTGTTGTTTGGACCTCTTCTTGGCTTGTGTGTGTGTGTGTGTGTGTGTGTGTGTGTGTGCGCGCGCACACAAGAGGCATTAGATCATATTGTTTGAATGCAGATTTGTAGTTGCGCGTTAGCCCTGTGTGAGCGTGTGTTACCGTAAAGATGCGTGTGTGTGTGTTTGGCCATGCTGTGTCTGGCTGGAGCAGGTTGAACAGGCTCTCCTGTCTGTGATCGTGCTCTCACAGCCATCTGCTGGCTCTGTCTCTCCCTCTCTGAAACACACTGTCCTGTCTCTTCTTCTTTCTTCGGGCTCTCAATCCTCTGCTGGAACTCTAACATCTTTTAATCTATCTGTAGCAACAGCTGCTATGTCTCTAAGCACTACATATACACATGTATACTCGGACACGTTAAATCGTTCTCTCATGTCACATGTGATCAAACTTCTCTGCTCAGCTCTCTGGTGGTGATCTACTTGCATGTGTGCTACTTCTGTTTTACCTTTCGGATGTTTAGTACGGGAGCTCTTTTGTCTGCACACTTTCCTCCACAGTCCCACGTAACTGAATAACTTATTTTGTCCTTTTGGTGATCAAAAATGCCCAAGCATTTGCTGTTTTTCTTTCTCTTTCACGTAAGCGAATTGAATATTTTGGGTGTTTGGACTGTTGAACCGAACAAGCAGTTAAAAGATATCAGTTTTGGCTTTATTCAACTATAGTTAACTTACCAGGAGAAAGCTCCAACAGCTTCTGATCAACTACAACCATGCAGCTTGTTTCTACTTGTGACTGCTTTTCACTGGTTGCATAAATATGTCTTTAGGTTGTGATTACTTCAAATTAAGAAAATATGTTTTTGAACACGTTTTAGGGACTGAAGAAGAAAAAGAAATATTGTAATTGTATTTTACTTAATCGTCTCCTAACCTCTCTGATTGATCTAAAGGCTGCTTGGGGCTTCTGCTAGTAGCAGAACTTAACTAAAGGAGATAGTTTGTCTCTTACTTTTATCAGCCAGTCTTCAGAGTTGAACTGCTTCTGCTCTTTTTAGACTTTTAGACCACTCTGCTCACAAGATTAAAATCTACAAGCATTGAAGATGATGTAAAGGATTACAGCTTTATTGCTCGAAGGTACCTGACATGACTCCCCAAACTGTTTGTTTCATGCACGATTACTTTGTTGGCGTACGTTGCACCCTGCAGGTTACAGAATGAATAATGTGGTAGTAGATCACGGCCCATGTTTGTGGTCTTCACTGGTGGTGTTTTCTGAATAAATGGGTCAGGGGAGGCCTGGTTCTTTACACCTGAGACCACAGGGAGTTGATGGTACAAAGAAATATGGGGGTAGATTTTACCATTAAAGGGCCACAGCTTGTTGATGAGAAGCATCGAACAGTTTAACCACGGCTTCCACATCATTCTCACGTCACCGGCAACATGGCGCACTGTTTTGTGTCTGAATAAATCATGACATTGGTTCTTCAGAAGGACTTTGAAAGCATTGATCCAAGAATAGCCCTGATGAAATATTAACAACACCTGACTTGCCCCGCTGACTTGTAATGCTTACTTCACATTAATGGATGTTTGATGCATGGATGACACGGAAACGAGCCTTTGCACATAGACAAAGGCACACCGGCAACCTGTATTTAAATGCAGCGTGCTGGCTCTCTGGTTTTAACAGGTTATGTCCATGTGACGTGTCTAAGTGTGAAATAGAATGAAGTCACTGTGGCATCTACAAAGGAATATGCATCCTCACTTCTCTTCTGCTGATTTATTCTGTTTGCTGCAGATAAAAAGTGCGGTGAACCTGTCTAGCGTGTCCTCTGTCCATCTGTAGAAAATGGGCAATGAATATGCAACTGTCTGAGGTTTCAGGACAAAGAGTGCTCAGGGAATACTGTTCAAATGTATGTAAGAAGTCCTTCCCTATTGTGCTCTGTAAAGACGGTGTTTTTCACAGCCACTTTTACCACCAGAGTTATTTTAGTGCACTGACTCATGTTATTGATTTGTTATGTTTTGAGAGAACATATACTGCAGCGGTTGTATTGTATACTGCTCCTCACTCGATCTGTGAAGGCCTCACTCGTACAACCAGATCCTCGACCCCGCCCACCAGGGCATGTGCGCCTGTGACGCCCCAAATGGCCACTCAGACACTGGCATACATCATTGATGAGCCCTTTGCACATGGCGTTTGAGGGGAAAGGACATAGGGTTTCTGTGAGAGACCTGGGCACGGGGACTCTGAGCTTTGTGAAAAATTTAAAGCAGACTGACAGTCTGGGAGGTGAAGATGCGTCTGGCTCTGGGATTTTGTGGACAGTTTGCGAAGGCAACCTTTTCTTCTCTTTCCATTAAGAAGCTCGAGGCTGAGCACCAGGTTGCGGTAAGAAGGGTTGTTTTTCACACTGGTGATGTAGCAGGGTGATGCTTTGGATTCCTTTTTTTTTTTTTTCCACACTGCTTTGGTTTATTCCGAGCGAGGGTTTCATGTTGTGTGAGCGTGAACCAGGCAATATGGCCCTTCTGTCATCTATAGAAATGTTTCCTTTGACGAAGGCAGAGGAACTCGCTCCTGCACAAGTAATTGCATTACTTTCGCTCCCCATCTCGCTTAATTTTCCTCATCTCCGCACATATTTCATCTTATGCTTTCAAAGAACAGGATCTGGCTTCGAGGCAGGCGGTGGAGTTTGCTGAGGGGGAGAGGAAAGTTGGGAGTTAATTAGCTTGTTACTATGCACAGCAGAGTGTTTGGTGTGCAGTGTTGTTGACGCCTTTCTTACTCATACGATACTGAATACTTCTAATCCATTTCATTAAAAGTGTCAGATCTGCACAACGGTTTCACAGAGGCTCTTGTTCTATTTCGCTTTTGGTTGGAAATGTGTCCCAGCTGATGTTTGTACTGTAAAATGATTTCAGCAGTGTGTGTGTGCGCCTCTGTATCCTTAGTATGCTGATTCTTCACCCTGGCTGGCTTGGTCAGCAGCTGCCATAATTTTATCCGCTTTTCAGGCATCTAGCTGACAATCTAAAGAATTGTTTGTAATGAGCATTCAGGTAGGTGGTGCAGAGTCTCGCTCAAAGACTTGGCTGCAGATCTGAACTTTGACGTTTTGTGCTGTAGTTCTCCAGCTTCTGGTGTTGGATGGAGAAACCAAACCCCCCCCCCCACACACACACCTTGTTGAGCTTTAATCGCAGGTAACTGACTCATCTCTTCATCTGTTTCCTCTTTGCAGGCCACAGAAAACGAACCAGGTGACATGGACCTGAGCGGCTTGCCAGAGACCGCCGTCGACTCCGAGGAGGACGACGATGAGGAGGACATCGAGCGAGCGTCCGACCCCCTCATGAGCCGGGACATCGTGCGGGACTGCCTGGAGAAGGACCCCATGGACAGAACCGATGATGACATAGGTGAGCCCCTACAACAAACCGTGTCAAACAGCGTTTGTTTCTCCGTGCAGCTTGCGAATAGTGATATTGCAGCGCAGTGTTTACTTTAAAAATATCTATATTTTCTGTGCAATCCTCAGAGTTTGGAGAAGGGTGTGTTTTTCAAAGATATCCATAACAAGCACAAGCAGTGTTGTTCCCGGCTGGGACAGTACTCCTTGTCCCAGTTCTAGATGAATTCAGTGCGGTATAAAAGCCACGCCTTCCTTTCTTACTTGAATCGGTCACAATTAATGTCGGCTTTCAAGTAATTCCCAAAAGCCACATCAGGTTTGCAGTATCATATCCCTTAAAGCTATGACTCAACTCCAATGATAATGATAGGCAAAAAAAGTACGAGTACACACTCTCAGAGCTTAGCTACAGATGTGGGCTGGGGGAGGATGATGCACTGGATGTAGAGAGTGAGTGCCAGCCACCCCTCCCCCGCCGCCCGCGGTACACCCCTCCCTCTGCCGGCAGGCTTTTCTAGGTCACTTCAGCACATCCTCTCGCCTCACCTCTCCCTGCACATTAAACTTTCAGTGCTTCTGCAGCTTCACACACGACGCTGTTGCCATGCCAAGCACAGGTCAGCCAGAACCGCCAGACTGCTGCTGGCCAGCCAGGAGGAGGGGAGAAGGCTGGTTGGTAGAAGGGGGGGGGGGGGGGGGGGGGGTATTTTCCCACTTTGGACCTCAGTGAAGGGTGCTGCAGAATGTCTTGCACCCTGGATTATATGTGTATAGCATTTCCTGACACACCCAGTCATATACACCCAATATTAAAGCCATTCGCCGAAATAACAAAACATGTATTCTTACTTACTAGCTATGCACATGCAGTAGTTTCGGTGTGCCCTATTTTTAAAAGATCCTGCTTTAAATCTCTGCCACCACCCCAGTAAAAAGGAGGTGAAAATAATTTGGTGTAAAACAATGAAAATGAACATTTGAAAAATAAAAAGCAACAGCAACCAATGCCTGGTAGCTCTGCATGATCCTCAGACCTCACTGTGACAGTTTTTCACTCAGACGACTTTGTACTGAAGAAGTTGTCTCAATAAAAAAAAGTGCCCACAGTGAGATCTGTGGATTATCCTGAGTCATGGGTATTTTAATAATTGATTCATTGCGTTAGTCAGCAGAAATAGCAAACGTCTGATAGTTCCAGCTTTGAGAATGTGGTGATTTGTCGCTTGTCTTTGTCCTGAACTGAATATATTTGTGTTTGTCAGTCGAATAACACAAGTGATTTGGGCTTTTATTTCTGATTCAATAGAAAAAAGTGGTAATTTAGCAATAGCCTGATTATCTATTTGAATCTTCAGTTACGTCTCAATGAGTAATAAAGTTTATTGGGCATTTTTAAACTTGATCAGAGTTTCAGCGTCTGCAAAAACTCACTCGGAGGTCATTGAGTGAAGTGTCAGCAATTATTCTGGGCTCGCCTCAAAGGTTCATATCGATGGAATTGATATTTGGCTTTATGTTCTCCGGATAATGATCCCTCTGTTGGCTGTTCGCTGAGTTGATGATCCATTTTGATGCTCCAGCCTCCAGGGCGACGCAGGCGTGCCAAGAGCGCTGCATGTCGTCCTTCTCTGCTCCGGGTTTTGCTTCTTTTTTTTTTTTTTTCTCAACCTCCTGCACTTCCTCCGCTGTCTCTCCTCTGTCTCTCTCACAGAGCAATTACTGGAGTTCATGCATCAACTGCCAGCGTTTGCCAACATGACCATGTCAGTGAGGAGGGAACTCTGCGCCGTCATGGTTTTCGCTGTGGTCGAACGTGCCGGCACCATCGTTCTCAACGATGGAGAGGAGGTGTGTGTTGGTGCAAATTCATGCATACACAAGCCCGGCCTTGTGACCTTATCTTGCCTGTGTCTCTCGAGGAACTGAACCATAGTCTCAGCCCTTCACACCAGTGAATCGTCGTCTTCCATTTAATGTTTTTTTCTGCTCTACTAAGTCTGAATGGCGGATAACCTGTATTGCCAGGCCTTATCTAAGATCCCTTAGGCAGCTGGAGAAGGAATCACTTATTCTCTCTGGTTTCAATGAAGACAATTTGGTTGTTTTTTTTCTCTCTGATGCACTCAAATAATAGAGAGCAGACCTTGCTTTGAAGGTGCGGTCACTTTAGTAAATGTCCGGTCACTTTAGTAAATGTCCGGTCACAGATAATTCAGGGTTCAATGAGCATATTGTTGCTGTCGGGGTAAAAGATGTGAATCTCTGCTTTTCAGAAATTCTTGAAAACATCCTTATTTTCATGTAATTCCTCAAAAAGCATAAGAAATCAGATTTTTATTTTTCCTTTTCAGTCAAGCATGTAGCAATTTGACTGTACTGCATCTTCATATTCTGGTTTTGCTTTGCAGCTCTTATAATCATGCCCTGTTGCTGTATCCCTCTGAGGACAGTACAAACCCATCTGTTAGTGCAGCAGTCCCCTTGTAGCTTCTTTTTGATAAATAACTTTGACTCATTAAGGGACACCAGCTGTTGGGAATATTACGAGACTGAACTCAATCTGATTTTTAAAAGTTGTTATTGTTGTTGTTTCTTTTTCACAACGTTTTGTTTCTTTTCTTCCAACATCTTAACTTATATTTCCGCGTGTTTTGTGATCCAGCTGGACTCGTGGTCGGTGATCCTGAACGGTTCGGTGGAGGTGACGTACCCTGAGGGCCGGGCAGAGATCCTGTGCATGGGGAACAGTTTTGGGGTGTCACCAACCATGGAGAAGGAATACATGAAGGGCGTGATGAAGACGAAGGTGGACGACTGTCAGGTAGGATCTTGGTCGGAAATGTTCCTGCATAGTGTCACTGGGTTAGGGTTAGCAGGTCCATTGCATCTGCATCTCAGTGTGGGTCAAAGCAGAACACAAACCCTAGCATTCTATTATATTGACATCCTCTGTGACCCACTCCACGAGTCCACGCAGACAGTAAGTTCTAAGTTGCTTTCGGGCGATAGCATCCAATTAAATGTGGGAAACGGCCATTTTGAAAGAGAATAGGCCAGAGCGTGTAAAGAGCAAGATCACATTAATAGCATGATGTGTTTAATGGGACTAAAGTACTAAACAGTGAAGACACTGAAATGGTTTTACTCCTTTAATCGTCAAGAGCTGAGCTCAGTGTCTGCAACGAGTAAAACTTGGCTCCTAATTAGGGAAAGCTGTTTTTTCATAATATACGATGTGAGGATGGTGGTTTAGTTGCTATGCAGAGTTTATTTCTAATCAGCTGTTATTAGTTTATTGATTTCATATTCAATCTGCTATGATCTCTCCAACAGGTCGAGATTTAGGGTAATCTAGTAACAGAAATATGATGTCTTATGTATGTTAAAATACCATAACTGCAATGCTGTTGAGCGTGTTGGATAAATATATTGTGTCAAAATGCTGCTAATTCTTTCTTTCCGTCTTGTCCAGTTTGTGTGCATAGCCCAGCAGGACTACTGCTGCATCCTCAACCAGGTGGAGAAGAACATGCAGAAGGTCGAGGAGGAAGGCGAGATCGTTATGGTGAAGGAACACCGCGAACTGGACCGCACCGGCACCAGGAAAGGACACATCGTCATCAAGGTGACAAGTCAATTTACATTTTCCTAAAACCCCCAAACAGAATTCCGAGGGCTCAAAAGAGATTTGATTCACAAATAATCCCCGCTACATATTTAAAGCGATCTTTGAAAGCCATCATGTTGCATTAAGGGTTATTTCAAACAAGTAACACCATGATGTTGAACTCCAGGGCACACCGGAGCGCCTCACCATGCACCTGGTGGAGGAACACTCAGTGGTGGACCCCACCTACATCGAGGACTTCCTGTTGACCTACAGGACCTTCCTCTCCAGCCCCATGGTCGTGGGCAAGAAGCTCCTGGAGTGGTTCCACGACCCCAGTCTCAGGGACAAGGTACGGGTGTACATAGGACTTCTGTATCTAATTCAAACAGAGACTTTATACTGCAGTTACACTCAGTTATGCACTCAGACACACCCAAGCAGAGGTTTTCTATTCACCCATAAACATGTCCAACTACATGCACTACTAGTCAACATGTTAACTGTATGTTGACCCCTGCTGATCGTGTGATTGCTGCAGGTTACACGGGTAGTCTTGCTGTGGGTAAACAATCACTTCAACGACTTTGAAGGCGACACTGCCATGACTCACTTTCTGGAAGAGTTTGAAAACAATCTGGAAAAAGAAGTAAGTCAAGCAACCCGCACAGGGATTAATCTCATGCAAAAATATATTTTGTGTATGCCACTTATTGCACTTTCCTCACATCTGTTTTTTTTTTTTTTTTTTTTTTTTTTCAGAAAATGTGTGGGCACCTCAGACTGTTAAACATAGCGTGTGCTGCTAAAGCCAAGCCGCGGCTGGTGACGCTGACCAAGCCGTCCAGGGACTCCCCACTGGCCTTCAGCCTCCTCGGAGGGCAAGAGAAAGGTTTCCGCATCTTTCTTGATGCCGTGGAGCCTGGGAGCAAGGCAGCAGAAGTCGGCCTTAAGCGTGGAGATCAGGTGAGATGACTTCCATTTCATTTGTCAGACAGCACACATTGCTTCCGGTGTAAGAAAGTGTTAAACTTGAACTGCAGGGAGGGAAACTGTAAAGTCAGCTGCACATGGCCTTCAAGTTATACAAGTTTTTTTTGCCTGTAGGCTACAACTGTGAGTAAAAATCGCTTTTGTCACACAGACTAGCACAATTGATCTTTTTTTCTTTTGTTCGTTCTTGTTGTGAAATTGGTTTTACATTTTGCTCTAAATAGCATTAAAGGTCTTAAATTGAACTTGCCAGTAGCTGCGGGCACCCTGTGTTGGCTTTCTTCTCACAACTTGACTTCTCAACCGTTTTGACACTCTGCAGTCCTCCGGGTTTTAAGCAAAGTCCCTTAATCCTTGAAACCATCTCGAGAGTGTCTGGATGCCAGTTAAGCCCTCTTGACTCCAAACATCCCCTGCAGCTGTTTCCCGAAAAGGAAGCGGAGAAGCTGGCATCCTTGGAAGCATTCACTCTCTCATAGCCTTACTCGCACCTTCCAATTTTTTTTAACAGCTTCAGTTATGACCAGCATTCACTCAGGAGCTATCATTTCAGAGCTTTAGTATTAGTCCCATTTGTTTTGTCATCGAGCCATTAGCGGTAGCCCCGAAGTAGTAAACTCCACGCAACGTCTCACTAATCACTGCTGATCCCAAAACAGACATTTGGGCTTCGCAGCAGCAGAGGATGGCCTGTACATACGCTGCAGTCAAAGATGACTTCCTCTTCCACTAAAGAGGAAGCGGCAAAGGTCGGTTAGCAGATCGCGTTAAAATGCAAATACCCGGCCCAGATACAGAGGTCAAGCTGTTTAGACAATTTGAATGTGACACGGACCTCGTCGGTATCCAAACTGTGTTGGACTAAATGTCATGATGTGTAACATGCCAGATGATTGCACCTTTGTTCAATGAATAAAATATGGAGTTCAGAGATTATCACCTGTGACATTTACATTAGTTCAAGGCGCTACACTTCACTGCACAGATCCAATAAGGCATGCAGTTTGACTTGACGTTTGCTGCTCACCAGTTCAGCAATTAGACTCTTAATCCATGTGCATAACTTTAGATTTGGTTTATTTTTATTTGAGAGTTATGAGTTCTGTATTTTGGACTGTTGGGTAAAAATGCACCTGATATATTTCTTCTGTCTTCTTTCTGCAGATCTTGGAGGTCAATGGGCAGAACTTTGAGAATGTCCAGCTCATCAAAGCCAACGAGATTCTGAAGAACAACACCCACTTGTCCATAACTGTGAAAACAAACCTTTTAGGTAAAGTTTCATCATATTTATCAGACCAACCATGTCAGAATTCATAGCCAGACTCGATTATTTGAACCAGGTTATAATACTAATAACATTTCCCTTTTTTTCTAGTGTTTAAAGAGCTGCTAACCAGGCCAGAGCATGACCACGATGTGGATGGCGAGGAGGAGCATGACAGGAAGAACGGTGCGCCCCACCTTCCAAAGATCGGAGACATCAAGAAGGCGAGCCGCTACTCCATCCCCGACCTGGCGGTGGACGTGGAGCAGGTGATGGGCCTGGAGAAGGTCAGCAAGAAAGCAAAGAGCAACTCGGTGGGAGGACGCAACAAGCTGAAGAAGATCTTCGACAAGACACTCACCAGCATCCTGCCGCCTAAACCATACAAGTAATAAGACCTAATAACGTGTGGATTGTCACTTTTATCAGGAAATAAATCTACCTTATTGTTAGGCGGTGCAAGATAGCTTTTCATGTTGACATTTGTAAATGGCACTGAGAGGTAAATGTTAGAGATTTCAGATTTTAGTACCGTGTTATTATGTTTGATGGTGCCAGTAAACTGCACACAGCTGCTTATTTGCTGAAGTATAGCGGGTCAGTGTTTGTTTTATATCTAAAGGATGCTGAAAGCATGAGAGAGAGAGATAAACATGTGATGACAAATGAGTCAAGTGCAGTTTATGTTTCCCTTGTAACAAGTTTTGATAAAGCTTGTGCTGTGTGCAGAGAGGAAGCAGTGATCCACACATCCTCGTCTGATTGAGACTGATTGGGCGGATTGTTTCCCAAAACAAACATACAATGCAATCGAATAATCAATCAGCTGCTGAGCTGAATCAGACAGATTTTGATGCATCTTGTTTTATCAGTGTAGCTACGAGATTAAGATTTAAAAAAAATCACCTTCCTGATTAAAAAAATACTATGAAATACTGCAGGGAAAACCTGTAAAAGGGGTTGATTAGGACAGTGCATATTTTACAATTTATTACAATAGAGATTGGATATTCCGTTGCCATTGCAGCACACAGCTTTCAGATTGAGATTTCTGTTCCCCAATCCAAGTGTTAGCCTGACATTGCTCCAATCACACAATATTAGGTGTACAATGTGGGTTTCTTTATTGCAGACTATAGTCTATGGCCCAGAGGTGTTCACGGCTTCCAACTCCTGCCAACACCGATATCGCCCCCTGCCTTTTGTTGACAGCACTGCTGTCTCACCCCTCCCATGCGCTACCCTCTTGTCTCCATAGTGACGTTTGCGTGGGCCAATCGCAGGACGACAGCATCGTGGGGATGAAGCAGTCCAAACAGATCGTTCCAGCGCTGCCCGTCAGCGGAAACCTCTCATCGTCAAACCCAGACCTTCTGCAGTCTCACCACCGCATCCTCGACTTCAACAACCAGCCTGGTGCGTATTCAGCTGCTGTTTGGATAGAATGTGACTCTGGGAAGTTTGTAGTAACAAATCATTACTATTTCTGCTTTTTCACATCATCATTGGCAAATACAATCTAACAATAAAGATTATGTTCTTGTATTTAAAATATGAATATAAGGTTTTTTTTACACCACACGGATCGAGGTATCTTATTGATCCACCATTCTGTAAATCCTTTGCTGTAAAGACTCACTGGCCTCAATGGGAGAATACAACCAGTAATATTGAAGGGATGGCTACTTCAACAGTATGACAAAATGAACTAGCCAATGATAGAAATATGGTATCTATCTCCATTAACTCCTGTGCATCACATGTTGTTTGTGTTCTTCCAGTCCCGGTCATACCGAGTGAGTATGTTCTCGTTCATGTGATCCTGCTCATGTGATCCTGCTTCTCCCGGCACAGTCACGTCTTTGTCAATGCTGCCGGCCTCTATGTCGGACTTACAGACATTAATCAGCTGCTGTACTTTAGTTTGTTCACATAACATACTCTCAGTTAATCTGCATTCATGCTTGTGAACGCTAAGTAAAGCTAACAGCATTGCACTTACTGTTGAACTTTATGTTTTCTGAGGGCTAAGGGGTATTGATTTTTTTATTATTTTTTATTATGGAGGGTCAAATGATTGGTGGGGTTGTGTTTCTGATCAAACTAATGAATGATGGGAAATTAACTCTGAGGGTGACGACAACAAAATGCTTTGGTGGAGATGGTTCTTTATAAATCGTGGGAAACAAAATCCTTGGCATTTTATTTACATGAACCGATAAGTAAACATGAATGCTCACTATGTGTTCTGTTCATCCCCAGATATGTCGGACCAGGTATTACGAGTCTTCAAAGCAGACCAGCAGTCTCGGTACATCATGATCGGGAAGGACACAACGGCTAAGGAGGTGGTGGCCCAGGCTATCAGGGAGTTTGCCCTGACGGCAGCACCAGAGGCTTATTCTCTGTGTGAGGTATCCGTCACACCGGAGGGCGTCATCAAGCAGAGGCGGTTACCAGACCAGCTGTCCAAACTAGCTGACAGGATTCAACTGAGCGGCAGGTAATTACATCTTCAATTAGATGTGCTGAGTGCACATAATGTCAAATGGAGTAAATAAGTAAATCCTCTTATGAGAAAAGATTAAAGCATCGTCATTTGTGCTTCATTTAAGTGAAACAAACACATTCTCCCATTTCTTCAGGTACTACCTAAAGAGCAACATGGAGACCGAGACGTTATGTTCGGATGACGATGCTCAGGACCTCCTGCGAGAGGGCCAGATCTCTTTGATACCGCTCAGCACAGTGGAGGTTGCCACTCAGCTCTCCATGCGGGCCTTCGAACTTTTCTGCGCCATCGAGCCCACCGAATACATCGACGACCTATACAAGCTGCGCTCCAAGACGGGCTCGGCCAGCCTGAAGCGCTTCGAAGAGGCCATCAACCACGAGACCTTCTGGGTGGCGTCGGAGGTGACGCAGGAGCCCAACCAGATCAAACGCATGAAGACAGTCAAGCACTTCATCAAGATCGCCCTGCACTGCCGCGAGTGCAAGAACTTTAACTCCATGTTCGCCATCATCAGGTGAGATGGGGGAAAATGAATATATATGTGTAGCAAATTGTGCCATTGTGTTTAGAAAGCATACATCGGGACTGTTTTCACACTGTTTTCATGCGCCCATGTTTAATACGTCTCCTCCCTCTCACAGCGGTCTGAACCTGGCTCCAGTATCCAGACTGAGGGGAACATGGGAGAAGCTACCCAGCAAGTACGAGAAGCTGTTCGGGGACCTGCAGGACCTCTTCGACCCCTCCAGAAATATGGCCAAGTACAGGAATGTCCTCAACAATCAGAACCTCCAGCCACCGATCATCCCGCTGTTCCCCGTCATCAAGAAGGACCTCACCTTCCTCCATGAAGGTAGATGATGATTTACAAACATCCCACCTCTAATATGGTAGTATTTTGTACATGATAAAGTTGGATACATGTAATTTGAGCTAATGCTATCACCAGCCAGCTTTGTCATTATTATACATTTCTTGCATTGTTGTTCGCTGACTTTTGTAGTTACTGCAAACTTTACATGCGGTTTCCTTGAAAAATTAAACATTCTTTTGCCATAATAATCTTTATATGGTATATCAAACATAAATGTCAGATCATGGTCCTCACTTCATTTGAACCACATTCGTAGTAGTGGCTTTGAAGGGTAGTATCGGGTGTTCATTCCTCCAGTTAGTTTTTTCAGCTGTGTAATGTGAGAGTCATCTATGTTCACTTTCCTTCTTCCCTTATTCCTCAGGCAATGACTCTAAAGTGGACGGCCTGGTGAACTTTGAGAAGCTGAGGATGATTGCCAAAGAAATTCGCCACGTTGGCCGCATGGCCTCCGTCAACATGGACCCGGCCCTCATGTTCCGGACCCGGTAAGACGCCAGACTTCAGATTAAGAAGGATCCTTTTTTGCTCTCTCTGTAGGACCGCTCTGCCGGGGTTAGCCGGTTCACATAGATTCAGTGAAGATTTCCGCATCACGCTTTTCTTTCGAGCAGCTGTTCCCTCTGGCAACCGTTTCCTCTGGCAACTGTTTCCCTATACACATTGTTGGCATAAGATGTGCTCAGCGCTCCTGTGAAAGTGTGTCTTTGTCTAATGATGTCACTTCTTAGTGGTGTTACCATTTGATTTCCTCTCTAACTTTCACGTGGGTGAAATTTGCTTCTCTTTTGGTGATCTTGGTGGTCTTTCCTGTCCTAAGCTTTGTCTCTTTCTCCCTCTACTCATCCATCCTTTTGCCCTCCGTGCTTCTCTGTTCATGGCACCCACCCTCTAGGAAGAAGAAATGGAGAAGTTTAGGGTAAGTCCGGTGACCCGACAACCTTTTGCCCTCCCTGCACCTCGGCCCTTTTTTTACGCCAATTTGTGTGCTTCTTTTCATTCTTTTCTGAAATCTTGTTCCCATTAACCAGTTTGAGTTGAATCCTCCGACTAACACTGCCTGCCCCTAACCAAAGGGCTTTGAATGGAACAAAGGTCACTTCTGCTAACACACTGGACTATTTTACATGAAAGCTGTTGTGCTGACAGCGTGAATTAGACTAATACATATATCCTAAACATACAACAAATGAATATTATTGCTGTTGGATTACAGCTTTACATTAGTAAATGTGACCTTTTTTTGACATGTTGACATGTACCTAACAATATGCATGCAGCTTCAGTTTTACCTCTCTTTGAGGACTTATCTTTATATCAAACCTCAAAACAGCCAAATATTCGGGATACAAAGTTTTTTTTCCCTCATGGTTTACGTTCTTGTGGTCGAATGGGAGATCATTGTGCATAAAACATTTACTGGGACATTCAATGGAGAACATGTGGAAGCACATTGAATTCACTTCAGTCAAGAAAAGTTTTCTGCTCGTGAGAAATTCTGTATCTCATAATTATGACTCGGGCGTGTTGTAATTATGAAAGAGCCGTCTTGCAATTACAAGATCTGTATCTCGTAATTATGAGATCTTAATCTCGGGAATACGAGGTGCTAAATCATAATTACAACATACGAACGTAGTACTTACATGAATTTTTTTATTTTTTTTTTTACTTTGAACAAAATGAGTAGCCATACATACATAACACAAATTGTATATTTCGATAGTCGGTGTCTCTCGGAATCAACATTTTCAACCATCCATACTGGAAATGAAAGTCAATAAATGTCTTTCAACTGACAAACATGACTTATCATTGACACTGTTTGGTGAACTGTTTGACTGAGACCATGTGCAAGTACAGCTTTTACTACCACTACTACTACGAGCTCTGACTCAAGCCACAGCAATGTAAACTATGACCGTGCTACACTGTTAGAACTCGCCCTTTTCTACTCGCCTGTTGTTTGACTACAGCCATCATCCATCACCCCCCTCTGCTGTCTGGAATGACTGGAATGTTTTTGGAGTTGAGATAAATTCCTAAAGCTGCTCTCTGCATGTCCAAGTTTAAACTCCAGGCTCCCTGTGTAGCCCAGTAGCTTCACCTGTACATTTATACTTGGATAAAGGCTCATGCGCACACAAAAGCTATATGTTAATAAGTTCTTCCTCTATTCTTTCCGTGTGTTTGTGTGCGTCTTCGTCTGCGTTCGTGTCTGCATGTCTGCCTTCCTCTCTGTGTCCATGTGCGCGACCAGGTCCCTCAGCCAGGGTAGTGCCAATGCGGCAGTGCTCGACGTCACGCAGACAGGCGGGCACAAGAAGAGGGTGCGACGCAGCTCCTTCCTTAACGCCAAAAAGCTTTACGAGGACGCCCAGATGGCCAGGAAGGTCAAACAGTACCTGTCCAACCTCATCCTGGAAACGAACGAGGAGAGTCTGCAGACGCTCTCGATGCAGTGTGAACCCTCCATCAGCACATGTGAGTTTGTGACACGAGTTAGCACACACACGAATAAATAAAAGATGTAGGCATTCGTTAAACGTCCTTGATTTTGTTTAACTGCGTATTTCTCTTGAGTCACCATACACGTTTTCAAGAATCCCAGCAGACACAGACTGGGTGGGACCAATGGAGTAACAAGCCACTCAGTCTTGCTTACAGACTCCTTGGCAGTGAATAAGAACGCTCGTACTAAAATTTGTCTTTCTCACCCTACTCAGTGCCCAAGAATTCCGGTGGGAAACGACCAGACACCTCCCCAGTCGTGTCCAGAGCGGCCAGCCAACAGAGGGGCCAGTTGGCCAAAGGAAACCAGGCCCTCCAGGTCCCCGCTGTGGCCCTTTACCCATCCCGAAAGAAAGTGCCAGTCAAGGATCTGCCACCTTTTGGTAAGATTAAGATGATGGAATAATGAGATTTTATTCAATTGTATACCTACAACCCTTATTTTTAGGTACATGTTGTATATTTATCAGTTGTATGTATTTGTAATGGTATATTCCAGAAAGGTATTTGTATTGAGGAATTCGTATAAATGTTTCTAGTAAAGCATCTCCAGCAATTTCTTATCTGCAGCTGAACTGTACAGTCCACAAGAGTTTCTGCTCTACTTTTTATTGTGAGAGACATCACGTCATATCTGAGCTAAAATCTTCTTATTTTTAATAATAGTGGCTACAATTGTCCCTATAATAAGATATACATAATATGTATAACAGTGTTGTTTGGGATTGAGTGGAAATAGGCCCCTCTTCACTTGTCCTTCTACGTGCCACCATTACTGTTTTCTCTTCCTCATCCTGTTATTTGCAGACAATAGGAGAGCCAGCTTCTTGATGACAGTGCTGCCACCTAGAGGCTGTCTGACAACAAACAAATGCAAAAATCACAAAAAGAAAAAATCCCAGACAAGCAGTTTAGCATCCCAGCCCCCTTCTGGGGGGGGGTGGCATTGGTCCTCATGCTAATTCTGCTCATCGTCTTGTAAATGTTCACAGGCACCAGTTCCCCTCATTCTCTGAAGAAGATCCTGTCTCTGTCAGAGGAGGGGAACGAAAGGCACCGCCGGCAGCCAGAGGACACTGTGTCAAACGCCTCCTCCCAGCTCTCCTCCCCTCCCACCTCCCCGCAGAGCTCACCCAAGAAGGGTAAGCCAATAATCCTTCCTCCCTCCCTCCCACACCATCTTCAGGCTCCTTCCTTCTGTCACAGTGTGGCACAAATGCCACCTGGTGGCTGCCAGCATGCATTGCATTATGTTTCAGATGAGCGTGTTGGGTACGAGTAGTTCTCCTCCAAAATAAGACCCACTGTATTTGTATGTGTCTTAATTTGAGTTAATGTGTTTAATTATTATGTTCCCTTACCAGCGGCATCTTTTTTTCCCCGCATCTTTATAGTCAAAGCTTTCTAAAAAAAATATTATTTTCAGACTCAAAATTATGGACAAGATTGAGGAGTTTATTGAGGCGATTTATGTTGATCGAACACTATTCAACTCTATAGCTGAGCTTCAGCAAATGCCACGATGACATTCGCCTATAACTAGAAAGTATGTACTGACATGTGTCAGCAATCTTCACCAGTGGTTTCTCTATATTCTAACTTACTTTGTTGTGTAATTTCAACTCCCTTCGCTCTCATTATCTAAACGTTTCCACACTCGTCAGCGCCGCGCTGAAGCAAACTGCTGTTTCAGTAGGAATCCGATGCACTGATCCCTAAAGAGCTGGTTGGCTTACTTGGAAATGGCACTCTACAATTATCCCTGCAGTCTGTGTGCGATGCCTCGTTTATAGACACTGACTGAGATAAGATTTGGGAATTACAGAGGATTTATGAAGAGAGTCAAAAGATATTGACCAACCATAAGTTATTTTGATGTGTGGAGCCAGTCAGCATGTAGGGGGCCGTGTTAAGAGCTTGCTCATCCTTGTCTTTGTCGGGTCAAGCTTTTATGCCACAAGACTTGAAGGATTTGAATTCAAGTTTACTTTTTTGCAACAGAAGCAAAGCAATGGGACTGAGGTTTGAACACTTTGAACACTTCCTTTCCTCTATAGTTTAACATTTCTTCCTCTCTCCTCCAGGTTACAACAGGATGGGAGACGCCTACTCGGACTCCGGTCACAGTGAGATCTCCTCCCGCTCCAGCCTCGTCAGTAACTCCTCTTTCGACATGGCCCAGGACGAGAGGAGGCTCCGTCACTCTGGGGGAGTCGGGGAATCGCACATCGGGGGACAGCGGCTGGAGCGAAGAGCCAACACCGACCCCGACCAGTACAGCCTCGGGTAGGAAAGGAGTAGTTTAATTTGGAGTGAAGTTATTTATGTGACCTTAAAACTTGAGTAAACCTTTATTTATGTCGGATCATAGGTCGTATTCATCGATGCAGGACTGTCGGGGCATCTACACCGGCTGCCCTACAGTGCTCTCCTCACCCAGTTCAGAGGAGCTGACTCAGGATCAGGGCGATCGTGTTTCCCTCGATGCTGCAGACAGCGGCCGTGGCTCCTGGACTTCCTGCTCCTCTGGTTCCCACGACAACATCCAGACCATGCAGCAGGGGCGCAGCTGGGAGACTCTGGCTTTTGGTGGAGGGGGAGGCGGCGTCGGGGGGCTCCTGCCCAGCGGACAGGAGGCCTTATTGGGGGGACATGCTGCACTGTGGGCAGCCCAGGCCAGGGGCAGCTGGGCGTCGGCCAGCTCCTCCTCATCCTCGGCTGCGTACTGGGGAGAGGACTCCGAGGGAGACACCGGCACCATCAAGAGGAGAGGAGGGAAGGACGTCAACGCCGACCCAGAAACAAGTAGCATCACATCCACCGGGTCAGAGGAGGCCAAGCACCTCGGCCGACCCTCCCCATCTCCCATCACCACTGGGGGAAAAGGCATCCTTTGTGAGTGACTGCACCTCAAAGTCCTGCTGCGTTATTTGATGATTGATGAAGTTTATATAGTGAATTTATAGCTAAGGGAAAATGTTACCGCAAGAGACATCTGGCAGCAAAAACTGTATAAAAACCTGAGTGTAAAAACAACATGAAGGCGTATAATCTCCCATAAATCCCCAACATTTCATAATTACACTTTAGTTTTTGTATAGATCAAACAAACAAGATATAACTTGTTAATTAGTAGGCTTTAGAGCCTGTTGGTAGGTGGATTTGTTACCTTTGGACAGAGCCAGACTTGCTGTTTCCACCAGTTTCCATTCTTTATGCTAAGATAAATGGCTTCATTCTAGTATCATTTGAGAAGGATCAATCTTCTGATCCGACTATCATTGTGATAACATTTCCCAAAATGTTGAAGTACTTTTAAAAAAAACAAAAAACATCCTGCATCAGGCAAATTGTTGTCATTAATTATATTGTGATTTTTTTTTTTTTTTTAATGAAAAAGCGAGATAAAAATATACTTCTGGTATTCTTGGGTTTTATAATGCGGACAATGAAATCGCAGAATTCCCAGCGAATGGATAGTATTCTGAACGTTCACTTCTTTTGTGTCCCTTCAGCGCGGAAAGAAAGCCGCTACCGTGAGCCTCCCCCGACTCCCCCCGGCTACACTGCCCTGACCATCTCCGACCTCGCTGAAGGGCAGCACCCGGCCCCGCCTGTTCCCACGACCGTGGCCGGCCACACAGGCCGCCGGCCGCCAGACTACACCACGGCTCTGCAGCGCTCGCGCATGGTCACCCAGTCGCCCGACTCCCACCAGGCCCAGCGGGCGGGCGGCCTCCACCGCACGCGCTCACCGGCCGAGGAGCAAGAGGCCGAGGAGGAAGAGGAGGGTGAGTCCTTGTCTTCCAAACTAATCGCTCTGAGGAAGCCAAAGCCAGTGGCACAGCATACACCTGAGACTCCCAGACCATGAGAGTGTGGTTAACAGGCAGGGCCCCTCTCCCCAAGGCAGGTAAAAACTAATTTATCAGGTTGCCCCCCCCCCCCCCCTCCCCCTCCTCCACTCCAATGAACCTGCATGTGAACAGGGACACACACTTTGGACTGAGACTGATCATTCCTTCGGTCCCACTTCAAATTACAATTCAATGTTCCTAATCCAAAAGAGAAATCCAAACATTTTGTATTTATGATCTGGGAATTGTTCATTTGGAGCGGGACCCTCACCTTTAACCCACAATATGTCACCATGCATGAGTCATCCTGGTTAGACCAGAAACTCACCACTTCTCTGCCACCACACATTCTGCTCTTCTCTCTCACCGTCTCACCCATTGTGTCGAGTAGCATCCACCAGAAGGCACAGTGCTGTTGGATCCACTCCCACCCATGCAATCAAACTCAATGCCTGAAAACATGCACCTCCATCCTCCTGCACCAGCACGCACCCGACTCTCCTACAGTGACTCTGGATGACTCTGTGTGTTTGTAGCAGCACTTTTTAAACATGCAGTAGTCCACAGTAATTAAACTGAGAAAATAAACAGCCACAAAACTACCATTTAACTCAAAACTATATTGTTAATTTGGCCGCTATGGAATACTTCCAGTGTACTTAAAGAGATGAGACACAATTTTCGCTTTTTACCACACTTATGTTTCAGTTGGTTGCAATCTATAACCTCACCACTAGATGGCACCAAATCCTACACACTGGCCCTTTTATAATGGACATCAGAACTGTGACAACGGGGTTGCACACCTGAAATGCAACTCCTCCGCATCCAGGGAAATATATATGATGATGGTGCATCTTTATATGAAACAAGGGGACGTTCAAAACATGCTCTAGGAAAATATTTGTCAGTAAAGTATACACGAGTCATGGTTCTTGACTTGGCAGGCGGGTTTTCCTTCTCACTAAACACTGATGCTTTGCTCTTTTTAGCTTTAAGCTTCCACTGAACACTTTTCGCTACGTTCTGAATTTAGTCTCGAGAACTCTGCATGTCCACCTTCAATGTAACCTCTCACTGTCTCGTCTTTCCACAGAGGATGAACAGGTGTCAGCGGTCTGAGGGACAACAGTGGACGTCCTTTTGCAGTAACTTGAAGTCCCCCTGGTTTTGGGGTGTGCAGGATTAAAGATACTGACCAATGGACTCATCATCAGTTACGTACGTGCCTGCCTCCTCCACTTGGCTCTCCTTCCTGATTGGTGGATTCCTCTGCTCATCTCCCTCCCCTGCCTTAAAGCATCATAGGGGGTTGAATGACCCTGCATGCAAAACAATACTGTGAAGAAGAGATGGAGAGAAGGTAAAAGACGGTAACAAAATGCCTGGCACTTTGGGGATAAAAAGACTACAGAAACCTAACTGGTGCCGGGGGGGGGGGTCGAGCTGGCCACATACACACAGAACCACATAGATGTTGCTGTTAGAGATGGGAGCGGCCCCCACCCACTGATTTAAAAACCCCAAACCCACAACAGCATCATGACGTGTTGAGCTCCATCTGCACTTTCTCATTTTCTACTTTCTGAAAAAAAGTAAATGGAACAAATCAAAACAGACTATCGTTTGAAGACGGAGAGAAATAACGGTCGACTTGACTCTTACATTTTCAACTTCCCACTAGATTTCATTTCTTTTATTATTATTATTTTTTTTGTGTTGTTGTTCTCTGACTGATTGCACTCTGTGGGCCAAAAGAGAGAAACCAAGTCAGCCCCTTTCTCTGCCTGGACTGAAACAAACCCATCTGTCGTCGAGTGTTTCGAACTCTGAATCCAGTATTATCTCATGTTTCACATGTGAGAGCTTTTCAAGTGTTGGTTCAAATCAAAGCGAGGAGGAGAGCCTGGTAGGGAGAACCAACATGCACAGTGTACTGACATACCTACATGCACACGCACACACACACACACACACAAACACACAAAAAGTACATTTTATGTACCAGTACATACACTCGAAAACATAATTCATTTCTGAAAAATAGCACTTTCAGCACAATCCTAGATGTTACCAGACATTTGGCCTGGATACCAGGGTATGAGTGAACCATATCTTACTGTCATCCCACCTCGGAGCTCGCCTGGTTATATCGAAGTCTTTTCTTCATTCTGTTGCTTGCTGTTACGACGGGAGACTAATATTTTGTTACTGGCCTGTAGGTGATATCAAAAAGCACAGAGGTGATTGACCGCCCGCTGACACCTGTTGGACTCCCATCGTGTTGGTCTCTGCAGTGCATCAGAGGTACACGAGCTAACTAAAGCTAAGCTGCAGTTGCAGTTGAGAAAAATTGAACCCTCGAGGCTTTTTTTGCCCAAATTTAAAGCTAATGTCTGGTAAAGTACAAGCTGTGAGCAGTGAGCGAGCGTCCGCTGACACTAGGGAAGTTGCCTCGTCCCTTTTATTTCGGTGCGAAGGGATCACAGACAAACATCAGCTTACTTCAAAAGCTGCCAACGTGTAAATCGTGAGTGTACCTCTTAACTACCTTTACAAATGATCTTGTACAGAGTCTTATAACACACGTATTCCCCTTCAAGATGAAACAAATTCAGATTTGGCTTCTTTTATTTCTTTTTTTGAATGTCCAAAGCGCCTTACGATGCCATGATTGCATACATTTCTTTGCATGGCTGTTCCCATCACGAATCACCTTGTTTCAAGAGCACAAGTCTTGAATCAAGCAATAGTGGAGTGAAATGCCTTATTCAAGATACTTTCCCCCCCCCCCGAGACGCTTTTTAAAATATTTTAAGACTCAGTACAAGATGAAGCCGAGCTTTTTCTCTGTTTTTTTCGCGTGGCTTCGAGGCGGCATCGTCAGTCTCGCTGTGACCACCACGGCGCAGATCTTTTGGTCTGCACAGCACAGAGCGACGCTGCACCTCTCCTCCCCTTCGGATGTTTGTGCTCACAGATTCATCCTCAGAGACTCTTCTCACCTGTTACAGACATCAGCTCAGTGGATGCTGTATGTATATCGCGAACGCCTGCAGCCGGTTTTCCACTATATCTTGCCATCAATGGAAGACTGAAGATTTATATATTTTTTGTTTTTGTTTGACTCCGGTGGGTAAGTTGACGTATGAAGAAAAACTTTTTTTTTTTTCCCCCGAGGCTGCCAATCAGAACAATTTAGAAATCCAATTGTGAAAAGTACCTTTTTGTTTTCTTCTATCACTGAGTCGCACTGATCACATTGATCAGTCTTGGAAACTACAGACTGAGAAAAAGATGAATGAGTGCAGAGTTTTCCACTGTGGTCTGTGACTATACACTAATGAATTCCTGGGTTTCTTTTTGTTATTGTGATTTTTTTTTTTTGTAATGGCTGCAGATAGATTGTTGATTTGTTTGTAATACAGTGGTGCATCATTCACTTTCATTCAACTCTGAAGATAATGTGCATATTAGCGGGCCGAGTCCTATTTCGATAAACAAAAAGTTGCACAAAAATGTACAAGCGTAAAGATAAGTGTAGTAGGTAGAACTGCTACTCCGTTTGATGTGTGATGTCAGTGAGAAATGTACATTTAGCTGGTGATGACCTTCTTTTCTTCATTCTTTCTTGTACTACTACGACCTGTATGTCTTTCAAAAAGACAATTGGTGGAGTATGTATCAGTTGTTTTTGTATTTTTAATACAATAATTGTAAATATTGGTTATATTTTTGTTCAAATGTACTATGTTTATGCCTCAACATCCAGTTTATATGAAGCTGGGAATCAATAAATACTGCATAAAGAATCAACACATAGGTTTAAATGCACTTATTCATTTCTTCTGCATTTCGATGTCTTTCTTTTTTTCCCTTCAGGGTTTTTCCCCAGATACCGTCTAGTGTTTGCACAAGTCATGGAAGCAACTTGAAAAGTGTAACTCTCATACTTTTCTATCTGACCGCAGTGTGTCAGAATTAATAAAAAAGAGATATTAAAGTCTCTCCTTGCTTTTATTTACTTGTTTTGTGTTGTCTCCTTCTAGAACTTTGAAACTAGCGCAAGTCCCAACACTAATTTTTTTCCTGATTCATTTTGTTTCTCACATTTGCGGTTTCATTTAATAGTACAATTCAATATATCCAACTCGCTGTGCACCACATACCCATAACACAATTGATTACCTTGGTTGTCATTGGTGTTTGGGGGATACATGCTCTTATTGTTATTTATCCTGCAAGAAAGACTTCATTTGTGCCCATTTTTCTTATTTTTTTTACTGTAGTTGCTAAGATTAAGTTCATATTTCTAATGACTTAAAGGAAAATTAATATGCTATGAATAAAACATAATGAAGAAAAATATCAACTTATACCATTGGATAAGAAAAATAATATTTCAAATTGACAAGTCACCCCTGGCAACAAAACAAGGCAGATTGAGATAATAAAATGATGAATTGCCTTTATTATGCTTTGCAAAAAAATAAGTGTGCTTTCAGACCACAAGAGGGCGCTGTTTCACTGCAGATAATAACCAACCGTTGAACTACCTCAATGACTTTTACAGTATATTTCATAGTTTTGAAAATACTTCAATTATAATTAAAACACATTGTGTTTATTGATCTGTAATTGCTCTTCCTAAACTCAAAAATGATCATGTCCTTTTCATTTAAAAAAAAAAAAAAAAAGGTGAGTGAACTCATTGTAAAGCCACTCTCTCTAAAAGAGGAACAAACTTAATCCAAACTGTTACTTTTGTCATTAGTTGTCGCCATAATGCCTTTGTTCCCCATTCATCAGTGTGGGAGGAGATGGTAAATGTGTTCGTACAGTTTGACATTCTGGAGCTTTGTTATGGTAGCAGACACCTATCAGCGCTCTCACTCCTCATGAATAATGCAAGATGGACGGTCCGGGTCGCCTCTATCACAGAGCCGAGGGCCCCAATTTGTCACACTTTCCCAAAAAAAAAAGATGCACACTGACCATGAGAAATCGGGAGCTGCCCACACACACACAAACTTTCAGCCTGGTAAATATAAGGTAACAATCTGTTTCACTGTCTCTATTTCTGTATCTATTCTCAGTCTCTCACTACACACGGAGAGAGAGAAGCACGGGAGGATTTGGGAGATAAGAATATTTTTGGGATTGAAGGTGCTGGAAATGTGTGCCAAAATTCAGTATCTTTGGAAATGCGTCCATGACAAGAACAGCCAAAGGGCTGCTGCTGTTGCCCCTAGCATGTTATTCATTTCAAGGGGAAGAGGAGAAACCTCTGCAGCAGCGTTTACCTCATGAGACTATAAAAGTGTGTCCATTTGGTTTGCTGTTTTTACCAAAGCTCTTATTTTTTGTGTTACAGACCCTGTAGAAGAAAACACATGTTGCTTAAGTGTGTCTTTTGTCTCTTCCGAGAGTGAAAGGAGACCAAATGTTCTGTGAACAGTTACAGTGATCTCTGGACATTTTTTGTAAAATATATTTTCATACAACAGCAAACTACCCATTTATTTTAGGTTTCTTACATGCAGTCAGAAACATGGGCCTTTATTGTAATGGTCTGCGCAGCCTTGATTTCTCATTATTCACAAGGTGTCAACACTGCAAGAAAAAAAGTGACACTAAAACAGTTTTATATATTTAAATCTCCCCTTAAAACAAATGAAGGCACAGCCCTAACACTGACAAATCATGTTTTCATTGAGATAAAGCATCTGAAGAAAAAAAGGAAAATTCTCACTGCCGTCGCCTGCATTAGAAAGATAACTGTGTCTGACACGGGGAAGGATGTGGAACAGAAACAACATAAAATACCCAAAGCACAGCGGCTGCATGAAATTAGAGAGGAAACGCTGCTGTAATCTGTGTCCGACAGTAAAACCACCCCCTGATTACAGTTGGAGGCGACGTGTTTACGACTCACTTGGCTCTGAAACTGTGCTGCGCCCTCGGAGGCACCAGGGGGCACTCTTCCCTATGAAATGCCGCCAGATGGACTCGTCCACCCTTTCCCTGGGCGATGGGTCTTATCAAGGGGTAGCAGGCAGCCAATGGTCCTCTGTAGATAGCCGGCTGGTTATGTGTGTGAAGCCCGGGCCGGGAGTTGTCAACCGTGTTCAATCGGGGCAGCCGTGGGTCATATTATGGGACTGTCTGGATTCCTTTCATGGTAAATTGGATGAAGGCAGCCGCACTAGAGCTGAGAGGAGTGGAGATGTCACAGCGTTCTCCGGCCTGTGTGTGGACTCCACGGGGCTGCACAGGCCCGAGCAGACAATTCAGTTAAAAGCTGTCAGAGGCAAAGAATTGAGAAAAAGAAAGATGAATAAAAGCTGCACGCTCCTCGGTCCAGGTGCTTTTCCTGCACAATGTGCTGTAAAATCCAGCGTAGGTTGGGGTTGGAGAGCAGATTTTGTTGTTTTGATTGTGAAAAATGCTCCACAGTCACCATGGTTCATTAAGGGATTGATGCTGTTTTACCACCGAGCACTCTTTCAGAGAGCCTGTAATGTAATGTCAGCATGGAGTTCTTTATTTACCGCAGGTGCCTACCCGGGATTATTACATTTTATGATTGTCTCAGGTATTTTATATTGGAAACGATCTCTATTACACAGCTATCTTTGAAATATGTCTGCTCTCAGTGTGAGGTGATACCATGAAACATTTTCCCCAATTGGATAAAAGCTCATTTCTTCATAGAGATTCTGTCCTTTTTAGCTTTTCAAACTGCACTCTCACCTTCCAATAACACATTTTCAAGAAGCAATTGGCACTGTACAAACCTCACATTTTGAGCTGCAACAATACATTTTGATATCTTAGGACACTTTAAAAAAAAAAAAAAAAAAAATCTATACAACAAACCAGCAACACGGACAGATTCTTTATTTATTTTTAAAGATAAGCATCTCCAAAGTATTTGGGATCTGTTATTATTGGTGAAAGAGGAACCGTTTTTCTTCAGTTCTGCTGTGAGTGCTGCTGTTTCCTCCAGTCTGCTGCTGCTCCGGCTCCTCGATTAGCAGATAGCGAGGGTCTGCCTCTGACAGAGCACCTGCACACGTGCAGAGATAAGAAGTGGGAGCCTCCCTATAAACAGGGAACAAAAACCAGCCGCGCAGCGACATCTCTCACAGGACTCTGTCTTTCTTTGGATGTGTTGTATATCTGCACATCCTTCAGCAGAGGCCCTCCCACTGCTCCCAGTGTCTCTCACAATGCCGCACTAGCGCCATGAATAAATCTGTGCCTTCCTGCTCCCTGTTGCCTCCGAGAAGTGACTTGCACGAACCTGCCGTCTCCGGCAGTAATGACTCTCTTGTCATTCATTGGGCACGCAGAAGAGATCTCAGAGCGGGAAAACATCCACTCCGCGCCTGGAAAAA